GAGGTTATGTGCATCAAACGCCAAACCGTATCGCATTTCAGGAGGTTAAATGTTACTGTTTTAAAACCCCAAAAGGGCGGGAAGATATATAAAATTTAAATTGTTATTTCGGTTGTATCAAATCTAAAGCTCAGAACTTTTTTGTACACCTAATATATATATAATGCACTGTTAGATAAAATGTGTTGAATTTATTGACATAAATCGCACATCCAAAACAGTCCGCTCAATTTTTTTGGGTAATTTAGTACAAGATGAATATGTTGGAAAATTACACAAATATTATGTAAGAAAAGAAATACAAAAATTAGCAACACTTTTTGTAAACAAACCGTGGAAGTATATTTTTTCAGTTAATACTTATAATATGTTAAATGAACCCGGTAAGAAATTTATCATGCATGAATATGTATAAATATGTATAAACATATATACATAAACATACAATTTTATATGAAATATGCATGTTTATACATCTTTCTTTCTTTTGTAAAATTATTTTTTAGTGTAATAGAAATAATAATAGTAATGTGAAAAATAATTAAAAGGGTAATGTTCACACTTTTTTAGAAAAAATCAAGTTTGGAGAAATGTAAAAAAAATTACTTATATACAATTATATATAAAATTAATCGCATAAATTGTGTATGAGCAATTTTTTTTACATTTTTCCAAACTTATTTTTTTCTAAAATAAACAATGCGAAAATTATTCCTTTAATTATTTTTTTATGTTTTCACATTATTATTATTATTTCGTGTTTATACATACTTGTACATATTCATGCATGAACAATTTTTTATCGGGAACCTTGCACATTTTATTCATTCATCGTACATTTTACATTTTAAAACACTTTATTTTATGTTATTTGTTCATTTACTTAATAAATTGTATCGTTTTGACACTAAGAAATGTTGAATATCAATTTTACACAAAATCTTTAAATAACATAATCATATTATGTTAAATCTCGTGTTAAATTAATACTCGAATATGTTAAAAAATTTAACACAAACACTGTTAACATGAACACGAGTGGACCGCTTCCAACATAAATACATAATTTTTTTTGCATAATAATAAAAGATGTATAATTTCTTTATTTATATGAATATGTTATTTTGACGAAAGAAACGCCTTTTTAAGTATAATTTAAAACTTTCGATGCACAACTCATTCATAAATCACGAAAGGCGTCTGATCTAATATAACTTATCGTAATGTACTTAATATTTTAAACCAGAAATGGTCTCAAATATATACCGTGTGACAAATGAATCGGATCGTGTACGCACTCGCAATCATACGTGTGTTACCTGTCGGCACACTGATGTAGCACTGTCAGCACCAGTTCCGTATGAATTATTTCTAATATCACTCAATCGATTGCACGTAAAAAGCGGATACTATACCGGTGGAATATTTGTTTTACGGATCTTTTTATAGGTAGAACGCTCGTAGAGAAGTATTCGCATTTGTTTCCAAACCGATTATGCAATATTTGAAATATGCGCGTATGATATATACAGCTGTCGTTATTTATCGTTTACGATGTTAATTTGCAACTAGCCAAGCGTTATCGCATATACCCTTTTTTCCTTTTACATCTTCTTAAAAATGTTATCGCGCATTTTATATCCAGCTGTATAAACTATAGATAGCTAGCCGTGCAAACCTAGACTTAGTCAAACGTCACAGCTGAACAAGCTGCGATTTTTATAGGGTAACTCCGGGTAAATACATAGCGCTAGGATTTATGCCGCAGAAGTCAGAAAAAATAGAGAAGGAGTGAAGATAATTTTCCCGCGACTACTCTGTTACACGCCTTTATGTTATATTAGTATTATGCTAATGATTTCAGCTTCTTACTGTTAATATTAATGAAATTATTGCGAGTTGAATCGATTTGTTACTGTAATAAGTAACGCCATCATAAATTATAATCTACATAAAATAATTAATGTAGGCCGTGTAAAAGTGGTTATTTCGTGATACATACGTGTAGTGGAATAGTAAAGCATGTTGTGTAGCAAAATACAAGTGCTTTGCTATCGTATTCTTTGTTTAGTTTGCTGTCTTGTACATCTCACCTGTTTGGGATATACGGCATTTTCAGTGAGCAAGATTTATGCCCAAAGTATACAAAGTGCGCAGATTAAATTCAGTACACTAAATGCAATAAATGCATTATATGAAATATGTACCTTATGTCATAACATTTGTAATATGTAGGAAGATTGTGTAATTATTATTTATTACTTCATATATATATTTACCAGTCTTATTCCTTAATAAAAGTTTATAAACACATTTTATAAGTTATTGTGTCATTATACTCTTATTTATATGTATTATTTGTAAATTTTTATATCCGTATATCCCCCCTTCCCCAATGAGTAACCATATATTCCATTCCTATGGGATATATGGCAAAAATGCAAGGGTTTCAAAAAGTTTATTTTTTAATATAAAAAATAAATATTTCGGATTTCTAATATTTTTTTCATAGTAGTAGACAGTACAAAGTTTTTATTGATATAGTTTCATTTACTATAAACATAGTAAATAATACTGAATAAATTATAAGTTTTTGATAGGTGCTGCGTATATACTGCAGTTAGTTTAGATATTGTACAGATATCGTGCAATATTGTATCAATGTTTTCAGATTTTAGTTACAGCTTCAAATTATATTACAGTTCTAGCATTAAAACAAAACCGCGTGCTATAACTTTGAAAACGCACGGTGCTATTGCAGATTTCGTATTGAATTCTTATGCCCGTTCCATTCTCGCACGTAGTTTTATCCCATACGCAATCGCATTGTCAGTAATGCCAGTACTAGAATCAGTATATAAAAGTAATCACACACACACACACACAAATCTGGAAATAAAAACTGCAGCATGTTTATTTAATCTATATTTATTCATATCAGAAATAAATAGATATTGTGCAGATATAAAATTTGTTTATTATTTCTTACATGCTTATTACAAAATATCACATATGATTACATATACGCATAAATACGTAATGTATAATACATACTGACTGTAAAGCACATAATATCTGTCATATATATATATATATATATATATATATATATATATATATATATATATACAATTTATTCATAAAATTAGGTATTAGGAAATATTTGTACGTATGTACATAATCTTGTAAATATGTGACTATTCTTTGAAGGAAATCTTTTTGTTAAAATCACAGATTACGCTTTGTAAAGCATTTATTTTCAAAACCACACGATTACGAAAAATACATTTATACAATTTATTCCCACAATTCATGCAAATATTTTTATGGCACATATTGTTTTAAATTCAATAAAGTGCATTTATATTTTAACAAATTATCATTTATTTATCTTTATTAAGTCTCAATTTTTTTGTTATATATTTAATATTGATTGTCATAATATTAATATTGCAATAATAAATAATTTTTGTATATGTTGATTATTATATGTTACATGTACACATTTTTTTAGAAATTTTCTAGAAAAAATTAAATTTTAACTATAAAACTTTATCTCTCTTTTATATATGATAAAATTTGCTAGTATTTGTTAGACTAATGGTTTTGTTGAACTACATTCAATAAACTTGCTAGTAATTATGCTACATAAATCATAAATAACAATAATTATAATAGTTCGTACATTCGTAAATAGACATATAATTATAATATATTGCATTTGTCCGTGTTATCATTACACTGTTAGAAATGCTTCCTTTACGTGTAAATAAAGTGGTTGAACGAAATTAAAAGTAATGAATGATTTAACTAAAAATTAAGTTACAGTGGTTACTCAAATACAATAAACGTGTACATTAAATTTCTTAAATTTTCAAGAAAAATATAATACATTAAATTTAATGTAATGTTATGAAATTAAGTTCAAATTGTGTAACTGAAAAGTATATTAAATTTCATAAAATTTTTAACAGCGTACGTATAACTATCTACTTTTGTACAGAAATTAATTTTAATGACTAGTATATCTCGCTATAAACTATAACAATTTGTGAAGATCATACTTAGCTCCATATTCGCTCGTAAATATTTCTTCCTTTTGTAATATAAATATAATTAATATAAATATAAATATTAATTATTAGTATTAATTTTATTAATACTGTTTTATTATATTATTTCTCTCTGAATATTGTAATAGAAAATAATTTAAGTATATGAATAATTATTTTCAGACTTATTCAAGGCTTGTTACGGCTAAAAGTGCTTTTGTTAACAATGCTAAATAGTTGATAGCGGAGTTTTGACTAATTTTATTATCAATTACTCATTTAACCCTCCGCGAATCAGATGGGGTATGACATACCCCAGTAAGATAAATTTCTATAACTTAAAAAGTATCGCGCATATGTTGTCAGTTTCGTGCATGGAAAGTGCATTATTATCAATCATACTAAATTATAATATATTTATAATGAAGTATAGCATGGAGATATATCCACATATGGTGTCTATGTTAATTTTCCGCGGAGGGTTAATAATATAATATAGTCAGTCGTATCAGCAACTTAAATTGTATGTATCTATGAAATGAATTATATATGATGTATCGTTCCAGATAATTACTTCTTCGTTTATCTAGATAATACTGAAGCGTTTAAATGACTGCATTTGGAATGCATTATTTATCTTTCTGCAATGAAAAGCTACCTCTCCATGGAAATATGCAATCTTTCTGTAAATTGAATTTTTTTTTTTAATAACGCCGATATTTGTTACAAAAACTTAACTGCTTAATTTATTATTTTTAAAATAAAATTTGTTATAAGTATACATTTGTGTATATGTATGAGTAATCTATTTTAATTAATTTTTAAAAACGATCAGTATAAGATCTGAAAATCTATATAAATTTAAACAATTAAATTTATGCAAATTAAATCAATGGAAATAGCTCATAGTCTGCAAAAGTGTAGTCAGTAGAAATATTTAATATTTAAAGTTAGCGAAAAGTCTAAAATTAAATGTGAATACTAAGTGTTAACAGCTGGTTAACACTAAAAAGATTTTATATATTTAAGTGCATCAAATAATTATATTCTCAGCCTAGTCATGGGTTTTATAAATGGATGCATTTATTTCTGAAAATAATAATTCTAAAAAAAAATAATTCTAAATATTATCAACAGTTTGCTAAAAAAAAAAAAAAAAAAAATTAAAAAATGTTAAAATTACGTTAATTTAAATTGTATTACATGCCATTAGTACCATTTGTGAATTGCGATGATGGTCATCATCGTTACTGCAAGTGATAACTTGCGGAGATTCTTCATTTCTACGAAGGATCTTCAGGGGTCTGTATGTATTGTATGTTAACCATAAATAATCAAGTATTAAGCAAGTAATTATGATAAATATAGTAAGTAACCAGAACGAAGGCGACTGTAATAATTTTTGGAAGACCCCGTACATATCGCCATCGTATTTTCTGAAAAGAACGTAAGTAAGATTTCGTGATAAAAATTATTTTTGCTTATAAATACTACTTTTGATGCCCATAATCGTTTCGATTGCAGTCTTTATACTTACATATTTAAACCTGAATAGCCGAAGGTAGTTACGAAAAATGCTAATTCAGATAGCAATACGCTTAAAACGAACGGGATTGTCCAATATGCACTGCGTAACAATATCTGAAATAACATTATCATTAACAACAAGTAAATGTATATAATATTTATCAATGATTCATTGAATTGTAATTAAATTGTCGAATTATTAAATTATACATATAAATTTGAATATAAATTTGTTATTAAAAGCGTACAAATTTACGAATTACTTGATCATTAAAAGTATTTAAATTATTGAATTTTATTCTTTTGTGTACATTTGTCAAAGTAAATCGTTTTACAACCTCAATCGAATATAAACTGCCTACGCATGACGTACCTGTAGATTTGCTAGTAAAGTGACTATATGAAAAATGCAAGTGCTGAAAACCCAGAGTTCAGCTGGCGTGTTGTCGTACAGATACGTAGGATTGATAGACGTCATAGCGAATATTGTAAAATACGTTATGCATGCATGGCATAATCCTGAAAATAATATGATATAAGATCACCTATCGCGTTAATGTTTCATATAAAGATTACGACTTATGAAAAATATTAATATGTGCACGAACCTAGAAACATCCATATTACGAATTGGGCTCTTGACATTAAATAATTGTTTTTATTTAATTTATATAAGTATGGATGTTCCATGAGTTTCTTCGCGGTATAATTCTGTTCTAACAGTCCGTACATCAATATCGGAAGCGACGTAAATATCAAGTTGAAAGTCATTAGAAACATGCCATCATAAAGTTCCTATAAAAATATATTTTGTATATAAATTCTTTATCTATAAAATCTAATCGAATATTAATTTGTTTTCTTTTATAATCTTTATAAAAATAGGAATAGGCCTTTTTTTTAATAATATTGTCAAATCACTATACAATAAATAAAAAATTTAAAAATATGTGAGAATTAAATGATAAATCTGTTTATCAATTCATGAGAATCGAGAGGTAAATCCTTCACTTACATTAAATCTGAATTGAAATATATGATGATATAAAAAGAAAAAATTAATTCATTTACATGTTACGGGAATATAAGATTTTTTCAACGTACAATAGAGAAACAAATAGCAACGTTGTTCTTACCTGCGTGGAGAAACCATTGTGTATGCCGAACAGCACTTGCGGCGTTATGAATACTACGTTCTTGTAAAAGAAGAACTGTGTCAAAATGCTGATGCGCAGATAATACCAGTGCCCGTGCACCAGCAATGCTTTTCTCAGATACTTGAACTTCGTGAAGGCGAAGTCAGCAGACATCGACGCCTGACGACCTTCTTTTCCTAATATTCCGATACCCACGTGCGCTTCCTGTATCATCGAGACGTCGTTACCGCCGTCGCCGATAGCTGCAGTGTGCGGATGATTTCGTGCCGTTTTTATTAGATGTACAATCTGCACAGATAAGCTATATTTAATATTCTTAATGATTTTCTTGCGTTTATATACGAAGCGTTCAGGAATCAAGAAACGTTCAAACCTCGCTCTTTTGCAGGGGCGTCAATCTGCAACAAACAACTGCCTCGCAGGCCATTCCGACGGATTTTAACAATTCTGGGCAATTTCGTAATGTCGCTGCCACGCTGACACCATCAATTATTAATCCGTACTGCTTGTACGGTTCCAGTTTTATTTTCCGTCTGAAAGATATAATTTGTGCAGGGCTAATATATTTTAAATTATATATTATGAGTTGATATATTTTAAATTATACTATAAGCTTTTTTTTAAGGAATTCGTATTAATTGTATTCTCACATGTACGGTCTAAAATAATTCTTATTGTTTATAAAATATATTCATGCACGTATCTAAAAGACAAAGAATTCCTTAAAGATAATATATATATATATAATATTCATATATTTCTAATTATTTGAACTACGCGTCGAATTGGTTTTCCGGACTTATAAACGCAATTAAACTACTGTAATAATATCACGAATTAAATTAAATTAACAAGCAATTTTTAATAATTTAATGCTCAATCAGGCATCATAAGATTTAAAGATGTTAATGTACTGAAACGATATATTTTATGTTCCATCGTTATAGTTTCTTTCGAATAAGGTTATTCGCACAAGAACTATAATGTGTTACGTTACGTTAAGTATTGATTCTATACAGTAATGTTTTTTTTGTGCGTTGATATACCCTAAACTTACTCATATACAGGCTTCAGTTTACGATTCAATACTTAAGGTAATACATTACGGAGTTCTTGTGCGGAGAGCCCAAAACGATTTATACATAAATATATTATAGAACCAATATAGTATTATAAAACCAAAAATTATGTGCTCATTTATTTGTTACTTTGATAAATTTTTGATGTTACTATTATGTAAAACAAGAACTGCGGGAGAAACAGTCAGGAAAACTTATCGGTAGTTAAATGAAACTAGAAAATATTTTGAATTTGCAAACTGCACTCACTCGAAACTTGTGAGAATCAGCAAGCAGGCTTGCCCTGAGGTCTCGTCCATCAATCTCAAAACCTCGGTACCCTTCTTGAAATGGCCGCACAGAAAAGCGATGTTCTCCGCAGTCTCTGCCTTATCTCCAGTCAGCACCCATGTCTAAAGGAATATATTTACGATTATATATATATCTTTTAAAGCTACTGCAATTAATTCAAGTAATCAGGATTGTTTTTAACATTTTATTCTAAATAAGATTTTTAAAAAACTTTGATGCATGGTATAAAAATCTAGGTATGTATATCCGAACATATAATTGTATAAAAAAATCTCTAATAATAGATTAAAATTAATAGTTTTTATATTAAAATATATTATATTAAATATATATTATATTAAAATAAATATAAAAGATAATATGCAAAGATATGTATTAAATTAATTATCTGGAGAATTATACAGTTTAGAGTATAATTCCGAAAGTGATCGACAAAGCAGAAACGAAGGTACACAACGCGAATAGTGAAAGATTTCTTTGGCAGTCTACGTAAAGGCGGTGCAATGAACTAACTTTGATGCCAGCGACTCGTAAACATTCCAAGGTTTCTTGCACCTTGTCCTGCAGGCGATCTTCCACCGCAGTTACTCCGAGCAAGGTGAGCCCGCTCTCCATAAGATTGTACGCGCGCGTTATGTGCGTCTCTCTCTCCGCACCGATTATCTGTCTGGCCTGCTCGATGTTATGTATCAGGTTTTCGTATTCGAATTGATTCATCTTTTTGTACGCCACCACCAACGTTCGCAGACCTCTCTAAAAATTAGAAAAAGATTCCAATAATTTCTGTAAATGTAAAATACAATTGCAGCAACAAGAAGCGAAAAAGGATTAAAATTGTTGAAAATTCTTTGCTCCAGCTGTAGCTTTCGTTCTGCGATTATCGTAAACGAGATAAAGCACCATAGAGAAATCAGCCACGTGAGCGTTGGTTTTTTGTGTCTCTCCTTTAATTATCAACGGCATAACCGCAGAATCAGCACCCTTGCAGTACAGCCAGATATCTCCCGACGAGTCTTTCACTATTACTGACATCCTTTTGCGTTCTATTCAAAATAATGTGATATTAGTGCTATTTATTGCTATTAAAACTATTTTATTATTTTTATCTATAAAATTAATTGTTATTTCATCTCAGTTAGAAATTTTAACCCAGTAAGTAAGAAATATTTTGGAACATTTCAGTAGCACACATTGTAGCAACGTTATATGTCAGTGCTGCTGAAATGTTCCAAAAATATTTTTTGCTCATTGAGAATCTATTTCGATATTCACGTACCAGAGCTGAACTCTAGTATTTCTAGTTTCTGAAAGACCAGATTACTGTTGTCGGTCTTGATATGTATCTCCTCGTTAGTACTCTTTTGTAAAACAACGCCGCATCTGGCACTCGCCTCCACCAACGACTTTTCGTCTGCCGACGCCGCCTGCAATATGTCACGTCTGTTTATATATCTTTTCGTACAGATGTAATCGCGTTTACACCTCATCTTAAACGGGAGTTATTAGTGAGATCTTGTGATACGCTACCGTAAATTTGCCGTTTACGTAAGTGAGCTATTATTACCTGATATTCCGGCAGATCCGGATGCATCATCAACGAGCTGTTGACCCTCGTGACTTTTTTCAATCTGTAACTCTCACGGAACAAAGTACGTCTGGCTACGACCTTGGGACGTAGACTCGGCGGCGCGATTTGGACCAAGTGGCATAACGATATGCTTATCATGAAATGCCAAATGTCACCCTAAAATCATGGATCTTTTAATAATACATTTTTAATAATTCTAAATTAAAGCAATAATTTTGTTAGTCTTGTTTAAAAAGTATTTAATAATATTTTTTTAATAACACTAAAATTATTGCTTTTTGGCAAACACAATACTATTAATTATCTACGTTTATAATACTGATATACAATCATTATTGATTATTATCGTTTTATTATTAATTATAATTAATATTAATATTCAATAATAGTTCGTAAATAATATTGCCGCCGAATATTAGAACGGTAATCAATTATACTCTTGCATCAAATCACATGATTTGATTAATATCTTTTATGTGATCTTAAGCTACAGCATATGAATTCTTTTAACTAAAATAATATTGTCTTTTTTTTTTACTAATAATCTCTTTAACGATAAAATCAGTATTTCCTCCTTTTTCTTACCTCCCACGATGACAATTGGATGGCCTCTGTCTCGTTTCCGTTTGGTGGCAATAAATGAAGATTTCCGTCGCAGTCCTTTTCCATATACACGTTGCCGTTAACTGAGCAACGTCTGAATACCATCAAATTTTCAGTGAGCGTGCCAGTCTTGTCGGTAAACAGATATTCAACCTGGCCGAGCTCTTCGTTCAAGTCTGACGAATTGGCGAGCGCCGGCTGATCATTATCCTTGTCATACATATCCAAGTCCCAACCGAAGAAGACGGAGCCGAGAAACTTTTGCAATTCTGTTGAAAAGCACGTTTAAACCTTTACGGATATATTGTAGAATTATTTTTTACGATCGCATCTTGTACTCTCTAAAACTTTTAAGTGAGTCTCACTCTAAGATTGAAAATTTATACACTTTTTCAAGAGATTGGCTCAATCTTTATTCTTAAAATAAGAGACTCCACTTTAAAGAATTCAGGGAGTAAATGTATATAATGTAAAAATTTATATATATGTATGTGTACGTAAATTTTTACACAAACGCAAAAGAAATATATCAATTTAAATAATTTCAAACATTTTCTAAATAATATGTTATGCTAAATAAAAATATAAATAATTTTAACTTAGTAATTTTTTTCTTTAAAAAAGAAATTGTGCAAGTAAGAATGTCTTACCAACGGTGACATACAATGATATCGGTACGATGTAATTGAATAAGATAAGGAAGTTCAAAATATCCGTAATTAACGTACAAAAATTAACCTTGGGTAGTGGACCTAAGTATCTTTCCCATACTTGTAGAGTGTCAACGTATAGTTTCAGTATGGTACATATTACCACTTCAGTCAACAGTATCACGAGATATACAATAAGATACTTATTGATAGATCTACAAATGATAACGGATAAGTGTAAAGTCGATACAGATCATTTTTTTTATAAATAGAAATATTTCTTTAAATTTATTCGTAACGTTTGCGATATAGATATAGCGAATACTCAAGCGAAAGACGTACACAGAGAGAACGATTTTGCTGATGAAGTATCCAAAAATTTAGCTAGATACAAACGAAAATAATTTTGTTAGGCCATCAAAATTCTTAAGTGGAACATTTAATCTGATTGCTAGAATGCCAAAATTTTTGAATACTTCAGCAAAATCGTTCTCTCTCGTGTAGAAATTATTATGTCTTACAAATTAATATAATGGATATTACAAAATAAAGGACGTAATTACTTTTCGGCAGTGGAGAATTTATTGCTGACTATCTTTGAATTGAGCGACAATTTTGTGTCCTGTCCGGTATAAACCGCGCAGCCGATCACGTACTCGGTGTCTTTCAGTCTAGATCCGCGTAGTAAAAGATTTTCTATTGTTAAATGCCCGCTGGTCGTTTTGTCGGCATCGTTAATCTCGAGTTTGCCGTGGAAGGTGTAAAGATTAGCCAAGGGTTCCTGACACGTAATTGTCGCTTGCATCGCCACTATATCCGTAAGCGACATTGTTGAGACCACTTTCGGCACGTGTAACGTCTACATTTACATACTTATAATTACGACAAACAGATTGTGACGAAAAATATTTCTAGAGATATAAAAAATTTTCATTTTCTCTGGCGTAAAGTTTTGCCTGTAAAAAATCCCGCTTTGAAAAAATTTATATAGTGTAAGGATAACTACTTTTAAGTTTGTTTCGCCATCAAGATTGGATGTCGTGACGTAACAGCAGCCCGGAGTCTCGCTATAAAGAAGAACTATATCACAAGGTACATCCTCATCTCGAGAGACTTTCACAAGATCGCCCACTGCTATTTGCTCGCAATGTATCTCCTGAAACGTATCATATATTACTTCTGAATGAAAAGTAATTACTCGATCTGACGATTTCAGATTATTAGAAATTATCTTATCTTTAATCTTCAAATCAGAGACATTGACAAATTTTACAACAGACACATAAACATATATATATTTGATAAATACCCGAGAAAAAATGTTTTATATATAATTATATAAAAAAAAAGTTAAAGAGAAACCTTTAAGAGCCGACACAGATTGTAAGTGTAATTATATATTCTTTATTATAAGAGAGACACATAATTTTCGATCCTAATTTGGATCCTCTTCAGTATGAATAAATATATAAACAAATTTAAAATAATCATATAAATTAATCATAAATATTGTGATAAATATCGCAGTAAAAATCATTAAAAGTAACGGTATATACGAGAGTTAATATGGTCGAATGTTCTCATGTCTACATCTTATTATTGATTGTTTATAAAATTCCAGTAAAATGAACAATAAAGATAACTGTGTCTATAATGTTCTCACTGCTAACATTGTCTATGATTAGATATCGACGTTTTTTATTAAACTTGACAATTTGATGATCATGTACATGCAGAATCACGTTATCAACCTCTTAAAAGTTTCTCTTTAATTTTTATTCATTACAGCTCTTATTTAATTTATTTGTAATTATATAAAATTATATAAAATTATATGTAATTTTATATAATTGTATATAAATGGACATATTTTATATATAAAGTTATATATAAAATCATTATATGTATAATTTTATATAATTTTATATAATTATATTTCTTCCCGGATACACATTAAAAATTTTATTACAGTAAATATAGAAATACTAAACTTATATTTTGTTTGTTTCATTACTATAAGTGTCAAAATTAATGAAATCTTTAAGTTAGAGCATTATAATTAGGCAACACTCGTGACGAACCTGTTTACACTTGTTACGGATGACACTGACTGATCTCTGATTATCTCGTTTATCTATTTTGTAGCGAAGATAATCTTCGTATCCCTGTTTACACGCTGTCACTAAAATGACAAACGACAGAGGCAAGGCAGTGGTTAACGGCGAAATTGACGAGCGTATAAAAACCGCGATTATCGTCATGAGTAGAAAATAAAAATTCGCCACTCGCCGAAATTGCTCGAAGAAATTCTTTGGAATGAAGTTCCATATCGTATACTGCAGACAGATTAGATCAGATAAATGCGATTGATATTGTTTATATTTTTAACAAGAGTTGAAATACAAGAATGTTGATAGCCATTTCGAGATATCAGCTAAATACGGCTGACTGTTTATGGCTGTTTACTTGTGTTACTGAATTTTTTAACATTAAAGCTTTTAAGTTTCATAAGATATAGAAAATGGGAAATACCTTGTGTGATATGACACGATTGCTAACAAAATGTTTTTCTTGTAAATCGTTCCCAGTATTAATCTCTACGACTCTGTGATCGCTAAGTGCTGAGGATGTCGTACCCTGTAAATGAAAGCGTATATTAGCTTACAATTTAGATATAGTTGTGAATTGAATTTGAGCAAGTTAAATTTTTTGTTGTTCAATCTGAACGATGTCGAAATGGAATATTTTGTGAAATTTTTAGATATGTAGTAAATTTAAGTATTAATCAAATACTTAATTTTGCCAGAATTGTACATAATACATTATTTTGTTTAATTTAAAACTAACAGTATATTAAATGCTTTTAAATTGATAAAATGAAATTAAATAATTTTATTGAATTACAAATACTATTAATTTAATTTATTTTAATTTATTAAATTACATGAAATTATAGCGTATCATCAGATTATGTAAAAATTAATCGTCTAGATATAATTAAATAACACATTTTTTGTGTTTTAAATAATACATTTTTTTTTTTTAATAATTTGAAGGAAAGAGATTACTCTTATAAAAATGCAATTTTTATATATAAGACGCTTTTGAGAAATAAATTTTCGAAACGAAGATCAATTGCGAATTTAGCCACAATCTTGATGTAGAAATCGAAAGGTTAATCGGAAGTCCACACAATGACGTAAAGTACACATCGTGCACACAATTATCCGTTCGCTCAATCAGATTGTGAGATAGAATTTCAAAATTTCTCGGTTTTTCTCGCCTGTTTTAGCACTCGTATGTGCCACGGTGATAAATGGGGCCATGTATGCAAAAGTGCAATATTATCGGAAAGCACAATCCGTGTCGTGGTTATACCGACAATTTGTACACTATCTTTACTCCAACCAGAAAAATCCTAAAAGTAGATCAATTACCAAGCAATTTCACAAAAATATTCTGGCACGCTGCAAACACGATGGTGACAATGGCGATAGGAAGGATAACGTGCTTAATATGATGAATAACCAGTACTTGGATCATATATATAAGGCATGGCTCAAAGATCCAAAGTCCGTAAATTCCTCGTGGGACTCGTATTTTAAATTGATTCATGCGGAAAGTCCTAAGGACTCTCCTTCTTCCAACCCCAGTTCGATACGCGTCAGTTCGTCTTCTAAGTTAAGGGCATCGAACTTAAAAGGAGATAAGAGTGAGTTTTATGATAAATCCCATATTATAGTCGTTTCCTTAGATTGATAGTGATATGACGCTAAGAACGTAATTTATTGGCACAATATTGGCCCAATATATCAATAACCAATGTATTGCTAGTAAATTGCTCAGGGGATTAGTATTAAAATCTCAATATTGATGATTATAATTTATACAATTTGAATGACAATTATAAAAATTTAGAAAGCTGCATAATAATTTTATAATTATTTCGTATCACACTGTGTGATTATGAGAGAAAGTAAATTAATATAATAACAATTTATATTATATTATATCCATAATAATTATAAATGCATTCTGTGGATCAATTAGAAATAGAACTAATTATGTTTATTTTTTCGGATAAACGTCTAACAGGATCATTTTTTCTGAAAGAGTCCGTTCGGGAAAAATCGGACAGTCAGATGCAGGGAGATCAATACATAAACGGCGCACTCGATATCAATGCTACGATCCGAGCTTATCAAGTACCTATTTCTTGTGTGAAATTCTTGTACTTTCTTGCATTCCCATATATCCATGTTTATTTCTTTTATTCACTTAAAGGGACGTGGTCACTTGATAGCTGACACCGATCCATTAGGTATACAGAATCCGGAGTCAGCGAAGCTGCAGGGTACCGCAAACTTGCCGCCCGCGATCGTAGTGCGACAGCATCTCAAGGGAATGACAGAAGCGGATATGAATAGAGAATTCCCTCTCGCATCCTTTACCGTTATTGGGGGCAAAAAGAGGAGCTTACCACTGCGAGAGATACTAACCAGGCTCAACAAGATTTATTGCGGTCATTTAGGTCTCGAATACACGTATATTCATGATCTCAACGTGGTATGTACAATACGATCTTAATTAAGAGGAACGGTGAATATTTTTATCACAAGCTTTACTCTTTCACGCTTTACTGTTATACGAAAGGAACGGTTTTGCATCTAAAATTTAGATGGGTACAGATTCGAAAATAATTTTCTAGAATTATCAAAATAATTATGTGAGAAACCCTAGCATGATGAACAATGTTGCAAAAGTTTTGACAACCAGTTTGAGTGTTCTATTTAATTAATTTGATAGTCCAATAAAGTTATTTTTAAATCCGTGTGTATTATATTTAATTAAATTTTTTAATTAAATTTTCAGCAAAATTGTTCCGCGTATACAGATAATATTTGTAGAATGATAGCTTATATCTTGTATAGTATTTTTGAAATTGCACTTAAATGTGATATCTTCAGGTTATCGTGTAAATGTTCGTTGATAGATTAGATTACACAAAACTGTTTTACTGATTATAGGCTGTATTAGATAAAATATCTATTTGAAATCAGATTTTAGCTTAGTAATTAATATAAAGATAGTCAGAAAAAAAGAAATAGAAAGATGTTTATTAAAACTGATTTTAAAAAAAGAATCACTGCGCGTCATGAAAAGTATGAAAAGCGAAATTGTGCCTTTGTGAAGACTAATTAATCTAGGAATTTTTTTGTTTGTTTAGAGGATGTATAGGTTTTAAAGCAATTTTCGTAAAATACGTATGATGTGTAGAATTTATGTAGTTTTATTAGTTAGATTGGTTAAGAGACAAGTTTGAGATACCAGGCGCCTGGGAATTGCCTGAGGAGCACCGGAAGTGGACCTGGATGAATATCATGAGGGCCGTAACTTTCGAGGGCTTTTTAGCAAAGAAATACGGAACGGAGAAGAGATTCGGGTTAGAAGGTTGCGAATCGTTTATACCATCTATGGCGGAATGCATGGAAACTTCAGCCCTAAAAGGTGATTAAATTAATTCTTGAATCACATAGATGTTAGTTTAAGTAAAGTTTCAAAGCGATTCCTGAGCTTCCATTGACGGTATGTTCCATTAATAGTACCTTTTATTTTATTTTGATTTTATCCTATTCACCAGGAGTCGAAAGTGTAGTTATTGGCATGGCTCATCGTGGTCGTCTAAATACTTTGGCGAATATTTGCTTGAAACCGATGAGTCAATTGTTCACTCAGTTCAATCCGATCGCTCTGGAAGGATTCGGTTCTGGTGACGTGAAGTATCATCTCGGGACGTACTCAGAGAAGTTATTAGAAAGGTGCAAAAAACCATCGCAATGCAAATTCGGTTCTAATATGCGAAGCATCAAGCATCGATGTCTAAACTTGGTGCAAAGGGATGTAGAGAGTCTAAACATTTATTATATTTGATTTATTGCGACTTTTGTAGAACCAAGAAGAAAATGCTTGTTTCTATAATGGCAAATGCTTCACATCTAGAAGCAATCGATCCGGTCATAGTCGGTCGTATTCGTGCCGAACAAGTCGAGAAAGGTGACTCTAAACGTACGTATCGAAGATGTGTAATTTCCTAATAGACAATAACAGACTTCCTTTAAATAAATCCTAAAAATAAGATTTCTTCAGATGGCATAAAATCATTGGCTATATTGGTTCACGGTGACGCCGCTTTTTCCGGTCAAGGTATCGTTTACGAAACAATGCATCTCACCAATTTACCGGAGTACACAACGGGTGGTGTCATGCACGTCGTAATTAATAATCAAGTAGGGATAACAGTTTCTCTTTGACAATGTTTCACGAATTTTTCAAAATTAATTAACTGAGTAGACTTTAATTAAAATTCAATGACCTAAAAGCTTTTTTAAAAAAGAATTTACATCGAGATAAATTCAAATCAAAGTTAATCAGATTTAAATAAAATCAGTATTAATTAATATAAATAAATAATAATTTTTGTATGCATTTATTTTTGTTAACATTAAATTATTAAACGATAAATAACAAAATTAAACAACTTTAAATAATTATAAATGTGTTAATAAATAATTTACAGAATAATTTATTTTTAAATGTATGTTAATAATTCTAGATTGGTTTTACAACCGATCCAAGATATTCACGATCTAGTGAGCATTGCACAGATGTCGCACGTGTTATTAACGCTCCTATTTTTCATATACATGCTGATGATGCTGATTTAGTGACTTACTGCAGTAAGGTGGCCAGCGAATATCGGTAAATTACAATGCTATTGCATTTTTTAATTTTTAGTGTATTACTTCAAAAGATTCTATTTTAGCTATTATTTTCTGTTATCTTTTAATTGTTTAATCTCAGCGTGTTTTATTTAAAGAATAGAAGCTTATTAGTATATAAATGCTAAATAAATTAATATAAAATTTGTATAAAATAACATATTTTGCGATGAAAATTAAAATATTTTATAAGTAAATAACATTTTTTAAAATTCTTTTCAAAAAATTTGTTTGCGAAGAGAAATTATATCTAAATTATGCAAATAATTAGTTCCTGCAGTAAAAAAGCTAAAAATTATCCACAATAAAATGTAAAAATAAGAACATATTATAAGTACATTAAATAATTGGAAGAATTAATAAAGGAGACTTATTAATTTGTCACTAGAGCTACTTTTCATAACGATGTGGTAATAGACATCGTTGGATACCGAAGAAGCGGGCACAATGAGATGGATGAGCCGATGTTAACTCAACCGCTCATGTACAAGCGAATAAGAGATCACCCTAATGTTCTGTCTATATATTCCGACAAACTGTTTAAAGAGGGTGTGATAACAGAAGCTTTCGCAAAGGAGGTTGAGGAAGACAATAATTTAAAACTGCTTTAAATCCTGTCATTTAATCCTGCTATTATGCATATGCACGTGCAATTGTTTTTTGTGCGTAGGAAATAGAAAAGTACGTGAACCATTGCGAAGAGGAATTCAAGAAAGCGCAGACGATCACCTCGATGCAAATGAGCGACTGGCACGACGTGCCCTGGACTGAATTCTTCGCGAATCAATCTCCGAGAAATAAAATTCCACCGACTGGTATCGACATCGCGACCATTAAAACGATGTGCAATGCTATATC